CTCGGCGCTGGGACAGAGCGAGCTGCAGAGCTGCCTGTGAACAGCCATGAGATGGCGGCAGGCGCTCAGGCTTGGCTGGCCCAGCCTGGGCTCCCCTGACGGATGTCTGCAAGCAAAGGGGTGCCCGGATCCTGCATTGCCAACCCCGGCCCCATTGGCGGGGAACACCAGCCTGGCGTCCAGCTTGGGATGTTCCCCGTCCCCCAGTGAGGCAGAACTGAGGAGCATACACTCATGGGGCTCTGAGGTGCCCGCCCAACCTGGGAACTAGACATCCCTGTGCAGGACCCACCACCAGATAAGGGAGGTTAATGATTAGTACTGGCATGTCCCAGGCAGAGGCATTGGTGCGTGTCCCAGGAGTGGTGCCTGGGCAGAAAACACCTTGCCCCACACCCCCAGGACTTGGTGGCTTTGCCAGGCTGGCCACAGGGGACATGCTCTGCACCCATGGCCACGGACACAGCTGCAGCAGAGCACTATTTGTGGGATAGACAGCCTGGCTTGCAGCAGGTTGAGGCAGGAGCTGGTATCATGTTCTCCCTGGTGTGAAGGCAAACCAAACTTGCTTCTGGTGATGTTGCCAGCAGCTGCACTGGGCACATCAAAGTCTTGTCTGGACATCCCATCTGTGTTCGTGGGATGTGGGTGTGTCAGCACCTGGAGGAGGTGCTGAGAGAGGCCCTGGGATCTTGGACCCAGCTCCCCAGGGCACCGCCCTGCACTGCAGGGAGACAAGGTGGGGACAAGGGCATGACAGGCAGGAGACGGAGACAGGGCAGGAGGGCTCAGGGCAGGAGGGCTCAGGGCAGGAGGGGCAGAAGCTCTGAAGGGCCAGTCCAGTGGCCCTGCTGCCACTGTAGTGTGCAGGGTCTGGGATGCAGTACCCAGTGCCAGAGTGCAATGCTGGTGCTGGCACACGATGCATGGTGCCCAGTGCAGTACCCAGGGCCAGTGCTGGTGACCACTGAGCCATGTCCAGGCCCTGCTGCCCATCTGCAATGCCTGGTGTGCAGGACCTGCTGCTGGTACCAGCGCCGGTGCCACACACTAGATTGTGCCAGGGGTGCTGTACCTGCCGTGCCAGTGCCGAGTGCCAGCTACCTGGTGCACGGCACCGGGTGCAAGATGATGACGCTGAGCAGAGTCTGCTGTACAGTACTTTGTGCACGGTACGTGATGCCCAGCGTGCGGTGACAGCTCCCGGGACGCTGCAGCCGGTTTCCCC